AACGCCCCTATTAGTTTTTTCTTTGCTAGTTATTTTGGGAGAAATTGAAGTTGAGCAATATTTAATTTCCTTTTAAAATTTTAGGCTAAAAGGAAGAAGTTTACAGAGACTAGTAAAAGTATAAACATAGTTACTGATGTGACACTTGCATACATCTATTTTCGGCACAGTCCGAAAAGCGAATTTTGCCGTGCCAGCACTTCTGCATAACATGTTTTCTTACTACCACATAAAATCGTATTTTTTTGAAATTCAAATATTATGATTGCTCTCTACGGAACTGTATGTATGTATTCTTTTTTTAACATGGTTAACTTCATATTAATCTATATATTAATCTATATATATATCGTATATTATATATCTATTATATATCTATTAATATATATCTTTATATATTTATATTATTTATATTATATCTTATATATAGTATATTCTATAATTATCTATATATTATCTATATATTATCATATATATATCTATATATATATATTAATATTATCATATAATATATCTTATTAATGTATATATATATCATATATTATATTTAGTATATATATTCTTATATATATCTATATATATATTATATATCTATTATACTATCTATTATCTATATATATTTTATATCATATTGTTATATATATATATATATATGATCAAAAAATAACGAGAATTTTAATTTTTTAAATTCCTGTGTTTATCCAATCGGTAAATATTTTTTATTTTCACGCTGGTAACATTATTATAGACATTCTGTCAAAGTTTAACGTATATCGTGCGATTAGTTTTTGTTTGGCATCTATACAAAAAATCAAAAAATTTCGTGTGGCAATTTTTACCTTATGGCCTCTATGGTCTCAAAACGCGTTCCTCGCAATGGCAATTTGAGTCGGGGGAAGAGGCAAAAGTCACACGGTGCCATATCTGGAGGGTACAGTGCTTGGTTGATGATATTGGTGGAGTTTTTGGCCAAAAACTGCAATGTAAATATTTATATGTATATATATATATATATATATTTAAAAATATCATTGTAAGGTACTATTTAAAAAAAAATGGTAATATATGCAATTTTGTGTTTATTTATTAATTGTGTTATATCCGATAACGGTTGCGATTTCATACGGATTTCATTTCTCTAAATATTGTTTATAACAGAATTTGCTATTTTGTTTTAATTAAATGCAACTATTTAGGATTAACCCAATTCCAGTTATAATCCAGCTGGTAGCGATTAACAATCCTTTACTGCACAGCTTATTTTTTTGAAAATAATATTCTCATGGAATGTGATAAATACAAAATTTAAAATATATTCCTGTGCTTGGATTGTAACAAATATAGTTCAACAATAGTTCAACAATAAATGGCATTAATTTAAATAAAATTACATAGGTTTATTGACATAATTAATGTTTTAACATATGCAATGATTGCGTGAGTAATATTAAATTTTGACGGTTTTTCTCTTTCTATAATTTGAAAAAAACATCCTTAATATTGGTAAATTTATCAATTAACTTAGGTGTATTCTGTTCTATAAAGTTAAAAAGCACTAATATACATACGTATATATACAGATACAGATTTCAAGCATTTAATTTTATTTTAGTAAACATATTAGTTCATTTGTGCCACTGTTATTTCCAAACTGTTTCGTTTGTGTTTATTACCATTACCAGACGAAGACGAACGAAGTTAAAGCCACTGTAGTGAAGTAATGTTCAAGCTTGAATCGAAACGCTAAAGCCAACGTCTCTGGTTGTGTATTCATTTGTTTGTATTTGTGTTTTTAGTATTTTTGTAGTTTGAACTTGAGCTCTATACATAATTGGCTTGGTTCGGTATAGTACGCTGTATGGAGTCGTTGCATAATAATGTTACAGCATCAAATAGCTTTATATACATACACGAAAAAATAAGTATTGCATATTTAAATTGCTGAAAAAACTGTGCTGGTAACGTGCATACTTCGTTAAATAATATAGAGTTGCTATATTTGTTATTCGTACGAAGTTTTTAGTAATGTCTGAAATGAAAAGTTTTATTTTTTTGTTGTTTCTCTTAATTACTTATAAACTATGCAAAACAAAGAGGTGAATCAAAATATTTGGGAACATTGAATTTCGTAATTTCTTAAAAACTAATTTTTATATGTATGTGTGTATTTATAAATGTGCGCTTATTTGTCAGTGCCTAAAAAAGAAATATATATTAATTAATTTTACTATTAAATTCTACTTTTAAGCCAACTAGTGTTAACTAAATTTGCTTCTTAAATCTAGACCCTATCAATTTAATTATTGATATAATGATAGATGACATTCAAATAACTAGAATCTGCTTTTTGTGAGATCATCTGTTAACATACTGTGGAATTTTAATTCGTATAAATTGACACAACCACAAAAATTTTATAGATCTTAAATATCGTTCATGTAATAGTTTATTAAATACGGTTGAACATTCATTGATTTAGAAACAATGTAATAATGTTATATTTTTAGACCAATACATTGAAGTTTCGTTGGGTTTTATAAATCCGTAAACTGGGCGAAACTTTTAAAGCCCAAGAAAATTTTTTTACTTAAACGCAAAACAACAATTGATTTTACATTGTACATATAAATACTTTGAGTCCTTAATAAATGACTCACTTAACATATATGTTAAATAAATACATGCACATTTGTTTTACAAAAACAATTAATCACAGTTCATGTATAATCATTTTCAGCTACGAACTCCATCTAGTGTGGTCTTTAGCAAATAAAATAATTGCACTGATCTTAATCATTACATGCATAAATTCTTTCTTGGCTTTTTTATACTTGCGCTTAAACTTATCTTTTAAAATTTTTAACTTTTGCCTTTAAAAGAGTTTTTAAAAAGGAGTCTGCATCAATCGATTAAGTTTCAAAAGAATTTTCTTTCAGTTGATCTCTTAACATATTTGCATTTTCAAATGTGCATTTGATTTTATTCCAAAACTAACACAATAAATTTTTGTTTTATTTTAAAAAATTGTATAATCCTAAAAAAAAATTAGTTATTTCTTATTCAGTGCATCATGATCATATCATAACGTCATAAAGATTAATTTCCTCAACAGTGCCTTCGAACACCGTAACACTTTTAGATCTGTATTTTGTTATGTCCATAAGTCTTCGATATGGATCGATCCGTTTTAATTCGCTGGCTTTACGCAAACAAAACCGAGCACAGCTCATATATAGTCCGTAGACATCGGAATTCTATAAAATTGCATGTTCGGATTTTGACATATCTTCCGCATATTTTTTGCATATTTGGGCATGTTGTTCCACATTTTTGGCACAATAGAATATATTTTATACATATTGTATATTAGGTATAAATATGTATTGGACATATTTATGAACCCCTTGTTTTAGTTTTTGGAAAACTCAACCGTATTAAAATCTTGATTTATTTATATGTTGGTCTTTATTTAATCGCTATCTGCTTCCGAGCACATCACTATCCTGATGTATAGATCTTGTTGTGTCGTAAAATTTAAATTATGTTAAAAAAGCAAAAAGTATAAACGACTGTGTTTGCTGGTATAGTCTTATAACATTTCGTGAGGAATCAAATCCTTTCATGATCTTAAAAAAAATTGTTGAAATTTCCGGAATATATGATTTATTGAGTGATTAAATTTAGAGTGCGCAGTAAAAGGAAATTAAAATAAATTGTTGTTTTAGAACTTCTGTAGGACAATTAATTGGTATTTGAATTTCCTAGGAATATATTCATATATTTTTTATTCAATATTTTTTTAATTTGTGTAGAGGCATTTATTTTATTTTTTTGTTTATTAAAACTATCCCAGTGCATATCTCGATCAAAATTCTAAATTTTCCATTCCAAAAGCTAAAATATATTTTTCTTAAAAATAATTTTCAGTTTAAAGGTTCAAAAAATATATGTTTCAAATATTTTACACTAAACCAATTCCATACAAATATATGAATTTTGTAAAAAAATTATGTAAAAACACATTTTTTAAAAAGTCATTTTGTGCATTTGCGTATAATTTACATATGCAATTTATATAGAATTCCGATGTCTAATAATCATTAAGATTAATCATCTAAAATAAATTTATTGTATTTAGGGCTATTCTAATAAGTTTATAATTTTTAATTTTACCCTAATTGCTTTATTTGTTTTTATACTATATTTTTCTCAGCTTATACGGTCGCAAAGGTATACAAATATTGAGAAAAAATTAATGACAGTAAATATATCATTGTTTTATTTTTCAAATACATCTTTTCGTTCAAATTATTAAATATACACATAATGATTTAATCAGTAATAAGAAACATCGAAAATCATCTCTTTTAAACAATTTTTAAAATGGATACATCTGCTTTGGCAGATCTTAAACATATTACATAAGATAGTTTACATATTGCTAAGTCGACCCTGTTGTAACATGTAACTCAAAACATAGCAAGCAAAAATCAAAAATTGATTGAATATTTATAGTAAGAAATAATTTATGCCTTACATAACATAATTTGGGTACCGCTTACCACTACCGATCGATTTTACTATAATATTTGTTTTTGGTGTATCAAGTCTAATAACTTTGAAAAAGTTAATTGCATCTGCAAATTTTTATGTTAGGTGATAATTTAGTATTTAATTGAAATTAATGCTATATAAGTAAATCACATACGATACTGAACTGTTTCTAAACTATTCATGAGAATAAAGACGTATTTCAAATGAGACTAAATGAGACTAAAGTATTGCCTCGTCCAATATCATATTAATAAAGTTACATTTTATTTTATATAATTATGGTAATACACATTATAATTTTTTTATTACTTTAATAAACAAAATAACACTATGTAGTATTTTTACAATCAAAAGAAATGCATATTTATATTTTCGATATAATTAAAAAACTGTAATTACCAAAAAAGATTTAATTTTTTATGTAATTTATTAATTTATAATTTCAGAATAAATTAAGTGATAAAAACCAGATTTACTCAAGAACGGCGGATGTTGTTAACATGCAGGAATTTTTTGATAAAAAAAAAACTGATAAAGCATTAGATCTTAAGGATAATTTTGAGCTCATTAATTTTCAAGAAAACGATCAATATCGTTATCACAACCCATTAACTCGCACAATTTCACAACCACAACCACAACCTGACACAAATATTCTGTCATATAAAGCACAAAACATTAAATCTGCTGTTTCTTCAATAATTGAAAACTTTGATGGAATAAATTTACACCGTAAGCTCGAGAGAACGCAGTCAGAACCATTGCCTCAACAAGTGAATGCTTCCAGGTAAAAAATATATTTTAAAATGAAGTTTTTATTGTAACGTTGTTCCAACTTCGATATCTGTTTAATAAGTCGGTGATAATTCCATTAAAACAAAATAATTTTTTTTTTGAATTTACCAATATTTAAATTAATTCTTCGATATGGAAGTTTTTTTTTTGTTTAGGTAACTGTTTAGCACATTCAAGCAAACAAATTATTTTTAACAAATACAAAGAATAAAGAATTTTTTTGAAAAAAAGCTGGAGATTGTGAACGCGATTTGACAAGAATTTTGGAAATTTTTAGTAGAATAAATAATTTTTTTCACTACCACCACATGCTGATATAGCATCATTTTTCAGATGTCCGGCTTTCAAATTCCAGATGTTTAGCGACGACAACTAGTTTATACTATTTTTACATTGACTGTTCAACCAATGATTACAACAAGTAGACATGCCCGATGACTCTAAGATATATATGTATAAATTTACAACCCGATATCTGCTAAATTTATCCACATATGGAACACGAAAAAAATACTAAGAATACTAAAATACTGAGCTAAATATGTTGTCCAGGAAATAAGAATCCTCTCATAAAAAAACACTTCTTAGAAATAATTTGAGAAGAAATATGAAAACTGCAGGATCATTTGGGATGAAAGAGCAAAATTGACGCCAAGTTTACTCACTGTTTATAAAAAAAGTACATTTTTCAAATGATGTTTGCAACTTTTTTAGCGTAATCCAAAAATTTTTACTTACATTTATAAATGAATTACCACTCATCTACTGTAGAAACGCAAATTCTGTTGTGATCATATTCCAAGATAAGCGAAGACTGGACGCCGTCTTCGGAAAATATTACAGCTTCTGCTTTTCAGATACATGTCATAATTCTTATTGACTATTTGGAAAATGTGTACTACTGACAATATACCCAATACTGTTTGACAATTTGTCTTGAAATGAAGAAGAAACTGCAGCGCGACAGTTCGTTTATCAGTAATTGCAACAGCAAAATTTAACAAGTTATTTTATAAGGTTGTACGTTTCTACCTTATATAAGTTGAAAGTCTACATCGACATCGACTCGATTTGGATATATCAAATTATTATTTACATCTAAATTGGAGAAAATGGATTACTGAACTTTGTAACTATATTTTTTTTAGAGTCGTGTATTATTTTCCAAAATTACAAATTTCAAATTCAATTGCAGCAAATTCAATTCCTTTCATTTATCACTGACTTATCAAACAGGCCTCGTATAACACATTTTTTGTAGGCGTTAAACTTAATCGTAATTTTGTGTTCTCAAGAAACGTACATTTTAAAAAATACTTTGGAAGTAACATATAGAATATACATTTGTAACTAAAAATTTTATGTTTATCGTATTTTTAGGTATAAAACTGAATTATGTCGTCCATTTGAAGAAGCAGGTGAATGTAAATACGGAGAAAAATGTCAATTTGCTCATGGTTATCATGAGTTACGAAATTTACAACGTCACCCAAAATATAAAACAGAATATTGTCGGACATTTCACAGCGTTGGATTTTGCCCATATGGTCCTCGATGTCATTTTGTACATAATGCAGATGAAGTCAGAGCACTACAGCAGCAACAGCAGCAAAAACAACAATTTCAACAATCAAACCAAACAAACTCCTCCAGTTTTAATAACTGCTTCTCATCTAGTTTTACTCAAGAACAGAAATTGGGCACCAACAACTCAGCGGCTGCACTCCCACTAAGTCCACCATTGAGCATGTCAACAGGTTCCGACCGGGAATCACCAACGGGTTCGCTTTCACTAAGTCCTACCAGCTCCATAACTAATTTTCCTTTTAACGAACAAATTAGTTCAACAAATTCAGTGCTTCAAACAACTTTTTCTAATATTAACACGCCGCCGGATAGTCCAAGTGCTCCTATATCACCAGTAAATACTTCGCCAAAATGCTTTGTGAATATTGGTTCATTACAAACTCAAGCAGCAGAATTTCACGTTATGCAAAAACAGAATTTTATTAAACCCGTTACTATTCAAGGAAAACAACTTTTGCAAAAAAGTTCTAGCTCACCTATTGCTATCATCAGAAATGTATGTGGAACTCCAACTGAAGTAAGCTCCATTTCATCGGTGAATGTAACTGATGATGCACGTCTTCCAGTTTTCAATCAATTAAGTGCAACTATTGATAATTTTACAAATATATTGTAGCTCTAAATTTGAACAAATCTCAAATGTATACTTATGGATATTTATATATGTACTATTTACATATACATATGTAAAGTAACTTTGTTGCACATTACATACACATGCTAACGACATGCTATATTATATACATATTATTATATTACAGAAAACTGAATGCGTAAATTATTTAATTATTTTTTATTTATAAAAACATATTTATATATTTTTAGATAATCATTATATTTATTAAATATCTCATCAGTAATAAATGGGAAAAGACGGGATTGTTATTTATAGAAAAATTAAAGTTTATATAATCATTGTTATTATTGCATTTATATATATAATTTATGTTATTCAGAAAAAATTATAACTTAAAAATATTTTTTAAAGTGAACAAATGTAATGAAAGAATAAAATACCTCCCGATGTAGAAGTGAATAGTTTATTTTCGTATTTGATATACATATATATATAAAAAATAAAATAATGTGAAAAGACATCAAACTTTAAAAAGTAATTATGTGCAGTTATAATATAAATATATAACAATGTTACTTTATTTTACAAATAAATATAAGAGATAAATGTATTTATTTACAAATTTGATAAAAAAAAAAGTTGATACGATACGATTAATAATTCTCCAAGTGCCTTACATCAATTAAAAACAAAAACATTTTACTTAGTTTGTAGGATTGATTTACATTTTGAATATTTTTATTTTTAAATTATTTTTATTAAATTGGTTTACAATATTATATAAGAATTTTGTACGTATTTGTCTTCCGTTATTATATAAAACAATAAAGATTTTGAAATTTTGCGCAAAATTATGCTTCCATTTATATATATACAAATAAGTAAATGTATGCTTAGAAGAGTGTTAATAAAAATATTGATTAAACGGGTTCGACTTTTATTGTATAAACTACTGAAAAATACGGTCATATTCTTATAGTGTATATGTATTTTGTTAAATTATATATTCTCAATTTTGTTTCATACATTTTTCTGATAGTATCTTTCGGCGCCGATAAAGGTTCTTATTTATACTTGCAAAAAACTCATTTTCAATTTAATTTTGAAGTCTTCAAATAGACGATAGGTTTTGTTTTTTTTAAAAGTTGTATATTAACGGTGGTTTGGATTGGTAATTCAAAGGTATCAGTTCTAGAAAAGAAGGTCCATCCGAACTGTAAAAACTTTTGCTGAATTTCCCATTTTTATGAAGATTCCATCACATTATTTGACGCGCTTCAAATGATGCATTAATAAAGTGCAATGCTCTGCTTAATTTGCTTACTTACTTACTTAGTTGGCCATTACAGATGTAGGTCGTCCTTGGCCGCGTCGAGTAGCCTCCGCCGGTCAACCCGATTAGTTGCTTTCTGACGCCAGTTGATAGTACCGTGCGCCCCCAAATCGCTGGTCACCTGGTCCTTCCACCGATGATGCGGACGTCCTCTACCGCGTTTTCCACCTGCGGGTACCGAATCAAATACTTTTCTAGCCAGAGCACTTTCTTTCATTCGCACGACATGACCAAGCCAGCGTAGCCGCTGAATTTTTATGCGCTTAACTATGTCAATGTCGCGGAATAGTTCATACAGCTCATCGTTCCATCTAATTCAATACTCGTCGCCAACACGTAAGGGATTATAGATCTTTCAAATAATTTTTCTCTCGAATGCTCCTAACTCCTCATCACTGTTGGTAATTGTCCAAGCTTCTGCACCATACTTGCTGACAGGCGTGATAAGAGATTTGTAGAGCGTGATTTTTGTTTGTCGAGAGAGGGCTTTATTTCTCAATTGCTTACTCAGCCCGTTGAATCTCTAGGCTGACGTCATTTTTGATGTTTAAGCTGGTTTCTAAATAAACAAAGTCTTTCACAACTTTGAACTTATAATTGTGAACAGTGACGTAGGTCCAAAGACGCTCAGGAGATTTGTTTGTTGACAGAAAACACTAAAATCACTTCTGAGGAGTGAAAGGAGACGATTTCCACAGCAATGCTAGAACAAAGTCTTCTGGGAGGGTGAAAGGAGTAGAGACGTTGGGGGGAGGGCCATGGTGCCGGGTGAGATACCTACAGGCGAGTGATAGAAGATACTCGTCAACACTAGTGATCTTGGCATTGCCATAGTTGATATGGAGAAGTGCTTTCCATTAGGCTTCTGGGAGGGTGAAAGGAGTAGAGACGTTGGGGGAGAGAGGTCATGGAACCGGATGAGATACCTACGGGCGAGTGACAGAAGATACTCGTCAACACTAGTGATCTTGGCATTGACATAGAGAAGTGCTTGCCATTAGGCTTGGGCTTATAGTTAGTGCAATCGCAAAAAAGTTCCCGCTCAAATGGCTAACTAAGAGAGTATGAGAGAAACCGAACTGGTGAATCCGTAACGACACGGATTCGTCGTTTAATTTTTGTTGAGGTATCACTCAGTCGCGGTCCAGGTCGTCGCAATAAATTTATTTATTGAGCAGTTCGAAATCTGATAAACCAAGGAGAGGAAAATTAAAACCGTTTAATTTTTTTTCCAAATTTTATTGAATTAAGAGAGCTTCACAACTAACTTATTACTTATTATGCTACAGAAAATATTGATTATACAAAGTTATACAAAGTTCTACTCAAGATTCTAGCCAACGATATCAAAACATCAGAGGCGTTATACAAAGTTCTTCTCAAGATTCTGGCCAACGATATCAAAACATCAGAGGCGTTATACAAAGTTCTACTCAAGATTCTAGCCAACGATATCAAAACATCAGAGGCGTTATACAAAGTTCTACTCAAGATTCTAGCCAATGATATCAAAACATCAGAGGCGTTATACAAAGCTCTATTCACTACCAAGTTATTTAGCTTATAGTATCAAAATACTATTTGCTTTAAAAGACTTAGCGTTGGAGTAGGCCTCTACTCACTTCGATGTGCCAGCGCTAAGTAATTTTTCATACAGAATTCTCGCCTATTTATATGAAATTATTCTTACTTTATAATTCGTACTCACAACCGCACAAGTGTAATTTCGTGTGCGTAAATAAATAATGCATTTCTTCGCGAGGCAACGGCTCTGCCGTGAGCTTAGCTTGACTTGTGCTGGCTGTGCGTGTGAATGTTTGCTGCTGCGTTTGACACGTTTTCATTTTATGAATGAAATAGTTTTTACGTTTGATGTTTTTGTGACCTTGAATATATAATGTAAATTTTATGCAGATGAAATATTACATTTTATTATAATTCAGAGAATATATTTTTTTAGGTATTATTCTATAAATAACTTATAACTAGTTTAAATATATAAATAAAAATCCATTTTAATATAAGATTATCTTCATTAATTAATTCAATATATGACTTATACTAATCTACGTTTAATAAAATCAATTTCTAATAAAATTTACTTTATAAAGCTTAAGAATTAAGCCTTCAAACCAGACTGTATTAAAGGCCTTTTCAATATCATGACTTAGTGCCACAGTGCGCTGCTTATTAAAAAACCTACGTATATCTCATTTTGGAGATGATGAAGGGCATGAACGGTGGAGGTTTGACTCCTAAAGCCGAACTGAAAAGGGGGAATAATATTATTCCCAGAGGAGAAGGACTTCAGCTTGCTGGCTATGAAAGTCTCATAGAGCTTACTGACAGAGTTGAGAAGAGAAATAGGACGATAGCTGAAGGGGTCAGGGTTTGCCACTTTTGGCAATGGGACAAACTATGTCCTTCCTCCATGGCTGGGGGGACGAACCAGTGTTGTACGCATAGTTGAAGAGCATCGCGCATTTTTTAAAAAAGAATGGTGAGAAACGCCTAATGGCGTAGAAAGACACGCAGTGAGTGCCAGGTGATTTTTTAGGCGTTTTGATCCGAAGCATGTCGATGAGTTTGGAAGGGGTGAGAAACCCTTGGGTGTCTTCAACATTGATGCAGTGAGCGGGGAACTGCGGGAAGAAAGTGACAATGCTTTCTCAGTCGTTTTCATTGACTATTTTATTTAGAACACAAGATTATATAACAAATACAAAACTACTTTTCTAACAGAAAATTAACAATTCAATATGCTTTTTGTTTAGCATTGCCAGATGTGTTGTTTTCTTCAAAAGGGACAATCGAATATTTTTACGGGTTGCTATGTTGGTTGTAATGTTGCCACAGTACCCCCCTTCCAGTATTGTCTATTGTGAAAACTTCACCTGGTTTTTTTTTACCTGCGTGCGTACGTTTTTCGTCACTTCCTTCACATCTACTTCTTTAGTAATGAAAGCAGGTTTGAGCCTTTCTGTTGAAAATGTGGTCTCCTTTCCCTGCATATCAATAACGAAAGTGCGTTCAGTTTGTCTATTGAGTACCTTAAAAGGTCCAGTGTACGGTGGCTCCAACGGGCAACGAACAGAATCAGTCCTAAACAGGACGTGTGAGCAGTTGTAAAGATTTTTCAACACAAATGAAACATTATTCCGGTGATGTGTTGCAGAGATCGATTGCACTAATCGCATGTGTTTGCGAAACTCCTCTAAGAAAATCTGCGGGCTGGTGCATTGTTGGTCGTCCTCAGAAAACTCGTTCGGTGGTCGAATCGGAGAACCATACTGCATCTCAGCAGCTGAAGTTTGCAAATCTTCCTTGAACCACGTTCGTAGGCTTAGCAGGACTGTTGGCAGTAATTCTATCCAAGATTCTGCTTCGTGACATATTAGTGCTGCTTTAAAGGAACGGTGCCAGCGTTCAATCATACCATTTGCTTGTGGGTGGTATGACGTGGTGTGGACGTGTTTTGTTGCTATCATTTTTGTCAAGGCTTTGAAAAATGCCGATTCGAATTGTAAGCCAAGATCCGTTGTTATGGTTTGCGGGCATCTAAATCTCGCCACCCAGTTTAACCAACAGGCAGATACTATGGTGTTTGCAGTAATATCTTTCAAAGGTATGGCTTCAGGCCACCTTGAAAAACGATCAATCATTGTTAAACAATAGCGATACCTTTTATCCATTGGCATCACAATGATGTCGATATGTACATGGTCGAAGTGGTTGTCTGGCATGTCGATTTTAATTGGCCGAAAAGTGTTGTGTCTGTGTTTTTTTGCTCGTTGACAGGGTAAACAATTTCGCGCCCATTCAATTATATCTGTTCGCATGGAGGGCCAGACGTATTTTTGATTTAGCTGATGCAGGGTGGATCTTCAACGGGGTTGTGACATGCCGTAAATTGATGCGAAAATTTTATGCCGCAAATATATTGGCACGTATGGTCGAATTATTCCTATAGACCCATCGCAGAACGAGGAATTATTGTCGTTGAAAACAATTGCTTGTAGTTTTAAAGATGTTTCCCCGTGCAACAGCGTTTTTAAGTCTTGATTGTTTTGTTGTTCCTCTGCAACGGTTGGTAAATTGACAGCAGTTGGCAGCAATACAGCTGAAATACGTGAAAGAGCATTTGCCACAGCATTGTCAGTCGCAGATGGGTGTACAATGGTTGTTGAAAATTGGGAAATATAATCGAGATGGCGGAGCTGCCGTGGTGACACCATCACTGGTTTCTGTTTGAAAGCTTTTATCAGCGGTTTGTGGTCCGTTTTAAAGA